CACACGAAATGAATCAAAATTTGACATAACGTTGACGAAGATCACGCGTCAAAATCATTCTCTATCTATTCGTAAAACGCGAACAAACATTTTATTATAAAAAAAAATCATCAAATAATCCTGACGTAATTTTAATTCTAATTCTAATTCTAATTTTGACGCATAAGAATTTTCTTTACGTATAGCAAAATTTGAATGAAACGAGAAAAATTGAATGATAAAACGTATATGACTTGTACGTCAAAGATTTTGATGAAAAATAATTTTTAACGTATAAGCATATGCATAAGTATGCAAAATCGGACTGTTCCATGTTGCTCTTTCGTGCGCACTTGGTCCCGTTCTTGACGTTTGCAGCAGTGAGGATCGATAGAACATTTTCTCTCTCTCTCTCTCTCTCTCTCTTTGTATATGTCTGTCTATCTATCTATCTATCTATCTCTTTCTTTCTCTGATGTCAGAGCGTTGCAGTTGAAAACGATGGGTCTATCGAGCTCTGTCATTGAGAATCTAGACATTCGCGTTTCACTCTATCGCGATACAGCCAACCGGAAAGAGGCCTGTGTACCTTCCATTCATTCCTATTGTCCTTTATTTCAAAGGAAACCATTGAGTAGGGTCACTAATACGAGTATCCCAAAGCGTTCCCATCTTCTCTTACTCTTTATCTTTATCTTACTACTTTTATTTCTATAGTAACCCCACCGAGTACATTATGGTTGTCGTTACTTTTGCATCTGATGATGATTGCGACCCTCATTTAAAAAAAAAAAAAAGAGAAAAAAAAGGTCGTTCATAAATTTCAATTATTTAAACCTTAATATTTAATAATTATTGGATTGATCGTTAAATATTGTCAAGAATCGTGACTCGTTTTAATTTTGATAAAATAATACTGATCAATATTTCATTTGTATTATTCAATATTTTATATCAAAATAAACGAGAAACTCGTATATATATATATGTATTAATAAAATTTCAACAATATTTATCGGTTAATATAATATTTTTAAAACGTTTTTCATACACACACAGATAAAGAATTTTTCTTTTTAATAATACTTTTGACATATTATTTTTGTTTTTTATATCCTATCCCTTTTAAAATAGTTTTGAAAAATAATAACGAGAAATATTTCATATATTTACGTTATTTAAATATAACAAAATATGCGAGTAAAAAATACCCAATAGCCTTGGATATTTTTTAATATTAATTTTTGTTTTATTCGAATTCGACAAAAAAATTCATTTCAGATTATCTCCTCATGGATTGAAAATTTATCAAAATTCCTTAATAAATTCATCTCATCGTTGTACACGCATACCTACGTTTTAAAAGTATAATAAAAACAAACGTGTCAAGAATTTTTCTATTTGAAAATAACGAGACATTTTCGTATTTTTAATAGAATTAGAAAAGAAAAGAGAAATTTTATATTGTGTAGATATTATCTCACGATTCGATTGATTTCATTCTGCTACAATGCCAATGATTTATGCTATTTCATAATAAAATCGTTTGTTCGAACTTGAAATAGTATTTTAAACGAAACGATTTGTTGGCTTAAACGAAAACGTTTCTCGTTAAAGAAATTATATAACCACGCGAACGTGATCGTTGTTAAGATATTAAAGTTGAATACAAAAAAAATAGAAAATTAAAAAAAGAAACTAATTAGAAATATTCTTTAGAAAAAAAAAAAATATTCACAATTCTATAATTTTTAAATTCTTATACAAGTTTTTGTATACAATCTGACTTAAAAGTTAAATAATTAATTAATATTTATATATCAATAGAATTATGATATTTTATTTTATTTTTTTCAATAAGATACGAATCATTCAGTTAAAGTGTTAATAAAAAAATAAATAATAATGATTTTATGATTTCAAATATTTGGTAATAAGTATTGTATTATTATTTAGTTAATAATCGATTTTAATAAAGTGACTTTTTTGATCAAATTTGATACGAAATATTTGATCATAAAAATGATATTCATGTTCAAATATTTTTAGATATTCTTCTATAATATTAGCTAAAAGTAAGTAACGTAGGATCTTGACAGTTCCTTTCGAGCACCTTCTAACGGGTAGTTACATAAGAGAAAGCAAATCTAAACTTCTATCGAGTTGTTTTAACTGGCTGTTATATTCAATGGGGGGTTTATATGTATGCATACACGAGTGACGTACATCTAGCTGAATCTTTCACAACTTAACATCGTAAGCTATAATTTCATCGAGATTGGTATATCATTGAAACAAACATGTTGTTCCGATCATAAACTTCGATTAATTAAACTTATTATAGAACTACTATAGGATATATGTATGTGCAATATATATAACATAAATGCAATCACACGTATTACAAATTTATCGAATATAATACAAAATTTCTCAAATTAAAACGATATGATCAAATATCTCCGACCCTCCACACAACCTTTATTGATTTTATTTAATTAAAATTATCAAGAATACTAATGCGAATCTAATGAAGGAGGAGGAGGAGGATGAGGGAAGGGAATCTGTATATTTATATAAAAATATATATTAGGTCGTCCCGAAAATTTCTTCCTTTTTCTTGGTGATAAGTTGCACAATATTGTAAGCGTAATATTTTTTATGTTATTTTACTAAATAATATCGATTCTCTACTCTGTATTACTTTTTTCTTTACTGTATATTATTCAACTTAAAAAATACTGTGCGCGTAAAATTATTTTAAAAAAAATTTAAAAAAAAACTTTTGGGACGATCTAATAATTCTAAATTATTTATCCTTTTTAAGAGAAAATTATATGATTTTACAAAAAAAATATATAATTATTTAATATTATCTTCCGTTAATAAAATCTAACTAGATTCGTTCTATTTGTGATATTAAAAGATTAGTCGTATTAGTATAATTTATAATTAAGTAATTATTAAAAATTAAGTAATTACAATTGTAAGTATAAAAATAAAGTTGATATTTTTCATTAAGTTTTTAACAAAACTATAGTTTTTAAGAAGTCTAACCGTTTTATATATTATATATAAACACTGATTGGAGACAAACGTGATTGTTTTTTTCAAATGGAAAAAGAAGAATTTTTGTTGAACAATCTAAGCAATTTAGCAAAACGATTATTATTTCATAGATTGAACAGAATCGTATTGTGTTAATCTAGGACACGACCTAAATTTTCTTGTTGCGTCGTATTAATCGAACTATCGTTGAATTAACTTTTGAGCTTTTAATGAACTTAATCAGATTAATTAACACGAAGGTGGAAGAACTTGAACGACGATGAGACAAAAAGAGTAAGTGAGAGAGAAAGAGAAAGACAGGGGTAAAAGGGGACAGAGAAAGAGAATATTTTGGAAAGACAATATTAAAGAGAGATAGTAAATATGACAGACACAGTGAGTGAGTGAGTGAGTGAGTGACAGAGACAAGAAATAAGAAATAAAGAAAGAAAGTGAAAGAGAAACAGAGAGAGAGAGAGAAAGATAGACTGACATGAGTGTGTGAGTGAGAGAGACAGAGAGAGAGAAAGATAGGTTGACATGAGTGTGTGAGTGAGAGAGAGAGAGTGAGTATGAGAGAAAGGTAGACCGACATGAGTGTGTGAGTGAGAGAGAGAGAGAGTGAGTATGAGAGAAAGGTAGACCGACATGAGTGAGTGAGAGTGAGAAAGAAAGAAAATGTCTACGAGATAAAGGTAGGCTGACATAAGTGAGAGAGAGGAAGATAGACTGACATAAGTGTGTGAGTGAGAGAGATAGGAATAGAGATAAAGAGATAGTAGGAGAATGAGTGAGTGAGTGAGTGAGATAGATAGAGATAGGGCCTATGCGACGTATCGTGTGTCTCGTATGGTCGACGAGACGTTTATGACATTGAAGTTATTATCTTAATGAAGTCATTTCGTAGTTCGAAACAACAAACCGATTTAAACTTTTCATGTACGAAGTGCAAACCAGGCTGTATGTGTATGTGCACATACATACGTGTATAAATATTATAATCGTTTAAAGATTTATCGCGTGTTATAATACACACGTGGAAAGCTGATTAAAATAATATGCATCAGAAAATAATTCTAATAGAATAATTATTTATAATAGATCTTTAGATTAATGGGGATAATAACGTTTCGTTTAAATGTTTCTATTTTGAAATATTGTTTTTTTTTCTTCTTTTTTTTTTTCTTATACTTTTCGCGTCATCGTATCTCGTTATTTTATCTCTCTCTTTCTCTCTCTTACTCTCTTTCTTTCCTTCTTACTTTTTTTGTCTTATTTCGTTCGATTTTTATTAGATTTTATTCACGATACTCTTGCGGACCAGTTAATTGGTTTATTCGATGAAATTCGAGATGTTATCGAAACGATATAAATACAGTTTCGATATAATAGAAGTGTATATTTACAAAGAAATCATTATTATCATTATTATTATAGGAGTTTGAATTCGAGTGTTTGTAATTTTACTAAAATCTCTTATTACTTTAATCCAATCTAAATGAAATTTTATATAGATTTTATCCATATCGAAGAAAAATTATACTAATTTGTACAAAATTACAAGCACATATTTCAGTCTCTTATATTATGAATACAAAATAAGTTTATTACCATTAAAACTAATATCAAACAAAAATATTTCAGTATTTTATATCATGAATATACAAAGTAAATTTATTAATACAAAAAAAAAAATATATATATATATATATATATATATATATATATATATAATTATCAATGACATATGTCATTATTTTATACATTTCCAGCATGCATTTTACATACCATATAAAATATATTGAATGATATTTTTGAACACCCTGTATAGTCAACAAAAAAAAAGAAAAATTCCAAATCTCCTATAATCACAATTAATTTCCTTTTTTTTTATATTACTATTGTTCATGCTTAATAAGAAAAATAAATAAATAAATGTTAATGTATAATAAAATATAATATTAAGTACTTACCTATCGGTGTTATGAGTCAAGAAGGATTTAGGTAAAGACAAAGAACGTTGGTGTGGATCCAAGGTCACATCAGTGGTCAACGAATCCTCGCCCCTGGTCGGTGCACTTCCAGGTCTGGACAACATTCCATCTTTCGGTGGTACCATTAAAGTTTTCAAAGAACCAATCACCGCGTCATCTATAGGCGTAGACGTGCCAGAACTTTTAACGTTTCTTGGGCTCTTCGTCACTGTACGATCCGAGGTAGTAACCCAAATATCACTGCTCGAGGATGATGACGTGCTAGATGGAGAAACCACAGGACCGCTCGGTGATCTATTCAAATTTTTACCACCTTGAAGAACCGGCGACACTTTTCTATCCTTTTCGCACATTTCAAAGCTACTGATGAGTTTTTCAGATTTTTTGTAAACTCGATGACGATCGATAACTCTTTTATCCAGACTACCGTTCGCATTATTTTCTTCTAATGGTGACCACCTGTTTTGATTCGGCTGCTTCAACACACTCTTTGGAGGTCTCTCTTGGTATCTGTATCAAATATTTCATTTTTCAATGTTATTATTTAATTTTTTTGTGTGTTACAAATATTAGATAAAATAATAAAAAAAAACAAACAAAGGAATAAAATTAACGTTTGATTATTTTGTTTTTTTTAACAAAAATGGCTATTATTTGTACAAGGTCAGTATTTATAACGAAGTATTCGGAATATATCTAGTAACGTTGATTCAATTTTATAAGTATTATAAATACTGACAAATTATTATTCAAAATAAATTAAATATTCTTATATATATATACTGAAGATTTATTTTACAAAATGTTAACATAATAATTAAAAGTAAATAAAAAGTAAACGCATGCAATGAATTTATCAAATCAATGCTTCTTTTTTTTGTTTAAATGTTACACTTTACATCTATTATTCTAATAGACGTAAAAGTACCTTTGGACATTTAAATTACTGTGTTCTCGACTACTCCTATTCTTTCTGGAAGTTTCCCGTTCTCTATAATCCCGATCATCCATTCGTTCCAAGGAAGCTGGCGATGAACATGCGCTACTACGATTCGTATGAGCTCCGGAATCCGTAGACAATCTTTGATGAGCCGGATAACTTTGAGAAACTTTCATAAAGACCGGTGGACCTTGATTAGGCGAATAAAGTGTATTTCTCTGAGAACAATGGGGCCAAAAATCGCAAGTACTGCTGTTGCAACGTAATTTGGTGTCTGGACTGACAGAAAAATCTTGACCGGAACAAGTTGGATTGGTGTTAGGTGTAGTTGCACCTCGTTGAAGTGTCCTAGGTCTTCGAGATTGCTGCTGTTGTTGTTGTTGTTGCTGCTGTTGTTGCTGTTGCTGCTGTTGTTGTTGTTGTTGTTGCTGCTGCTGTTGTTGCTGTTGTTGTTGTATCGAACTATTATTGCTTTTCTGAGATTGCTGTTGTTGTTGTTTCGAAGATATGAAGTAGACATCGTAAGTAGCTTGATTGACTCTTCTCTGTTCTTGGTTATCGTCTCGACGTTCCTCGTGACGTTCGTATCGACTCGTTAGAAAGTTACGAGTTATAACACGACTTCGAGTACCATAGAGATATTCCGTGACAGCTTCAGCTTCGCGAAATAGTTCTTCGTTAAGGGCGTCGTCCGTCGATTGAACTTTTCCTGAAATATACGCGAAATCGATCGATCTTGACGATCTCATCAAACATTAGATGCAATATATATCGAATATAATTTGATACATGTTACTTACTGTTTTGTAAAGTGTAACGTTTGCTTCTTTCGTTTCCTCGTTCAGTCGGTAATTTAATCATCAATCGATGAGAATCGTTGGATTCTCTGGAATGATCTCTCACAGGTTGAGAAGCTGTACTCGGTGATCTCTTTTCCGGAAGTTGAAGACTCCTAGATCTCCTAACTCTAGATTGTAAAGAGTCAGGTGATGCTTGATTCGTCCTAGCACTCTGATGCTGTCTAGAAACGTTACCACGTCTGTGGAAATGATTTGGAGTGGGAGACCGTCCTTGTCTCTCGACACTACTCGAAGACGACGAGGAAGAAGTAGGCGAGTTAAAGGACAATTGTTTACCCGACTCGGAAGATCCTGGAGATCTTCTGAGTCCTTGTTGAGTTCTCGCATGATGACGAGTTTGCCTGTTAGACGGTGAAATTCTTTCGCCGTTAGCTCTTATAGATTCCGTCGACGAATTTAAAGCAGCTACGGGGGAGGATACCAAGCTGAGATTCAACGACGAGCTAGGATTATCGTCCTCGTCGCCGTCCTCGTATCCTTCCACCGAGGAATCCGTATTTTCGGCTAACCTAGGCATTGCCGATCTCGTAACGCAACTATCCAAACTTCTGAAGCCCATGGACGATGAGGACGATGACGAGGATTCCAAATATCTCTGGGCAAACTGAGATCTTCTAGAGGACGACTGATCCTCCAAAGATTTAGCTTGCGCCATACGATAGTGTTGCTGTTGTTGTTGCTGTTGTGTATTACTTGCTAACGTTGTTGCGTTTTGTCTACGTCTGGACGGTGCATTCGCAGATTTCCTCGAGGAGGATGGCAAGGAACTCCAATTGGTTTTAGGTGGCGAAGGAGGTGGACTGATTAAATCTGTATCGATAGCGTTAGATCTTGGCAGGAATGGAGCTTTCCCGTAATTACTACGTGACGTGGTATGCCTCGAAGAAGATCTCTTAGCAACGACGTCTTGAAAAGCAGGTGGTGGCGATATAATGGGTGTTATAGAGGGTGGCGAAAAGGATTCTGGAATGCTACGGGGTGACGTGCAAGCACTGGTACCACATGACTCGTAATCTTGACCATGCAAAGCGAGATAATCCGGTCTTTGACTGTCCAACCTCGATGAGAAATCTTGCGGACACTTTCCTGGCTCGCTGTTGCTGCAATGATAATCTGCCAATTTGATTGCTGCCCTTCTAGGTAAGGAAAGATTACCAGCTGCTGTGCTTGACAAACTGCTCTCGTAATTTATTCTTCGATTCTCGTCCAATGATCTTTGTTGTACTTGGACCCAACCCGAGCGACCCAGATAAACCCCGTCGACTTCTCGATCGCACCATCTGACAGGTGACAACTCCCGGCTGCAATTTCCACCGATGAATAATTCTCCGGAGGTGCCGGTACTGCCCGATAAAAAGGCACTCGTAGCAGCTTCTCGACGACGGGAATTTGATGACACCTGTTATCATTGTAACGTAAAATCGTACTTTTCTTATTATCCTTCTGGTATAGATATTTAATTTAATTTGTTTGTCCTCATGCAAAAATAATTACTAAAACAGCAAATGAAAATTGTTGATACAATAATCCCAGAACAATTTCGGGTTTCTTGAGTTCTTCGTAGAAGAGAAAACTCACCTGACCATGACTGTCCTGACGATGTTGCTTCAAACTTGACGTCGAAGTAGTAGTATCGTGACGTTTCAATGAAGGAATCGAACTACCTCTTGTGTAAGTGCCACGATTACTTCCACCGGTTGTCGTCGTTGTCGTCGTAGTCGACAACGATGACTTGCCTCTCGTACTGATCTGACTCTTGTTACTGCTAACGCTATAGGCTGATCCTTGCGAACCAACCTCCCAAGGATCCGACGTGTTGCACAGATGAACGATCGATAAGTTAGGACCTCTGTGAAGTATCGACAAAAAGAATAATCCCCATTTACCTAAATGCTTCTCATATTTTCTTTTTATTTTCTTTTGTACTTTTTCTTTCTCTTCTTCCTTTTCTTCATTCGTTCGTTCGTTTCTTTTAAACTCCCTTTTTTCGCTATTATTTCTCTTCTTGAAAATTCGTGGATGCTGACTCAAGGACGCAGGAAAAAAAGCGTTATTTAGCCTAAGGCCTCATCACACACACATACACTCACGCTTACTCATTCTCATATACTTTGAAAGATACACACACAGAGACACTATCTCTCGAGAAAACTCATACTAATGCATAACTTTTATCGGTATACTCAGCCTTTTTTTTTATTTCTCTCTTTTTTTCCCCCTCATTTTATTACATCCACGAGATTGTGCCGTACGATAAAAACTAGAATGCACTCTTTTCTTCATTTCCCAACGCGTACTCTCTCTTTCTCATTTTCTCTTTCTCTTGTAATCTGCATATTCATACCGGTGGGATGTTAATACTACTGTGCAGACAGAAAAAGAGAGAGAGAGTGGTGAGGAGGGGAGGAATGGGATGTGCTTTCCGAAATAGTCAATGTCCTATCGATGATCGATCATCGATGTCTCGATTGGAATGAAATACACGTTCAAGTGGCAGACCACTCATTCTCATAAAGATGATTGGTGTTACCGATCATTTTCAGATACGGTTATCGATCATTATCACGATGATAATTCATTGCAATGTCGTTCGATGATTTTCCTCTTTCAAAATGATCAAACATTTTTGTATTTGTTCGCGTACAAACATACGTACATATAATACACACATACATACATACATTTATACGTATATATTCTAAGAACGTGGAAGATGATACCGTTTTCTCTCCTTTCACACAGAACCACTTGTAAATATTCATAGAAAGCCTTGGAGATCGTGATATACCTTAGAAAACAAGGACCGAGTTGTATGGTAAATAAACATGTCGTGGGAAATGCGAATGGTTGAAGTGGATAGTTGGGATAGAGTGAAGAGCGAAAGGGGGAGTTACAAGGGGAAATGGGAGAAGGGTTGGTAAAAAAAGGTGGGGAGCATTTATCTTCCTTCGGAACGTCCACACAAAGCTAATCCCTCTTCTTCGGAGATACACGATACGTACAGGTAAGTACCTATATATCCCGTGAGATTTGAGAATATACGAGAGGAAAACTTGTACTTCTCTTATACTTCAATGAAAGTAATGCGAACGATTTCTGTATTCGAACTATTTTATCCTCTATATCTGTTTTGTTCGATGATTTTTTTTCCTCCCAGTTCCAGTAAAAATCAATTGTAATCATTTTTCTAATAAATAAGTTCTCTACGAGTTGCGATTATTTAATTTACGAGGATTATCTGAGTAAAACGAAGGAGATACGATATTAATTTATTAAATTGACACCTACTTGAATTAACGTTCGTTCGAAGATGAAGGAGGAAGCGTAAATTGGTTGGCAGAACTTTGAGTAAATTTTCAAATTGATTTATAAAGTAAGAAACGAGAATAGAGATCGTTTTCAAATAGAATTATATATGTGTAAGATTTTCTATAATAGGATTGGCACAAAAATTCTTCGATTTAATTATACTTTAATAAAGGAATAAATAAAAAATGGGGAATTAGAGTTCTCTTTCTAAACGAAATAATAATTTTACTTATAAAACGTAGGAAGAAAGTAAGGAAATTTTATTTTGTTAAACATAATCCTAATAAATTCTAAAGTAAGGGTATAATAAATAAGTACCGATAAAAACGAAAAATAGAATAGAATAAAATAAAAGAAAATAAAACAAAACAAAATAAAATAAAATAAAATAAAATAGTAAAATAAGTCAATAAATTGTCTTTTCTTCCTTATTTTCTTTCCATTTCATTATTCTTTCATTCTATTTTTCTCTTCACCATACAAAGATAGAAAAGCTATACACAATACATTGCATATGGATAAGTCGAAAATATTATTTCAGTGAGCACACAGCATCCTTTATATAAGGGTATATAACCAGACTCCGAAAATGAATATAGCGTGGGTCGATACGACAGGTCGCTTAATATGGTTTCGCGCGTGCAGACGACACACACGCATACACACACACATAAACAAGCCCTTACTATTTTTGGATATCTCATATAGGATAAAACGGATATAACAGTTAACGATTAATTATATTTACCTTTTAACCGACATTCCTGTTCCTTTTTTTTTCCTCCTACACTGAACACACTCCAAATAATATATCACGATTTAACACACACATTATTATTCTTGATTTATTTTCTTCTTCTTTCTTTTATATATATATACGAAGAAATGTGTTTTTTTTTTAACTCCTCGTTGATTAAAGAAACATGAAAATAACTTGAGCACTTTGAAATTAAACGTTATTTGGTTTTTTGGTACTGTTGTTATTTATTTTTTTTTTGTTCTCTCGAACGAACAATACACATCTCTTCTCTCTCTCTCTCTCTTTTTGAAACWTTCTTTTCGAAAAGAATTTCTTATTCGAAAATTCAACTCTTTCTCTCACTACTAACTCACTGGGTGAATTTTAAATTCCACTGTGTAAACAAGCTACGGCTCTCTCAGCGGGTGAGATCAACGTGCACCGAAGAAAAAAAAAGAAAAAGGAAGAGGAAGAAGAAGAAGAAGATTGGAAAGAGAGGAAGTGGTTGCTAGTAGGGTTCTATCGATCTTCATGAAAGTTACATTGGACGTATGTACCAACGGAGTAGTCTACACGATGTACAACGGGAAAGTGGATAAAAGAGAATGAGAGAGAGAGAGAGAGAGAGAGAGAGAGAGAACGGGGAAGAGATACTCGTCGGAGTTTACACCGTACGAATTAATTCCTATTTAATGCTCTACATGTGCTACGGAAAAAGAAAATCCATTCTCCGTTGGGTATTAGAAAAACTCAAAAAGCTGGATAAATTGCGTCCCAACGTCGTTTTTTCTTTTCTTTTTACTCAACAAAAGAATTTTCTTCACTTTTTTTCCCCTTTATCTACACGATACTTCCTTGTATATATAATATTTTTTATCCGTATTATTTTTTAAACAATTTTAATATTATACAAGTAAATAAGAACAAGTTGTTTATTTGCAAGATTTTTAAACGAAGAAAGAATAGAAAACACACGAAAAATAAAACCACGTTAAATAGTCGAGGAAGAAAAGTGTATAATACGTGATTTACCTTTCAACACGTGTGCCCGTATTACCGCCGATGTCACCGGTGTCTGTAGCTGGACTGACTCTACGGGGTGGGAGGGCAGGTGCCTGGCCCGAGGACGAACCAGAAACAGGCCCTCCGATAACGCCCACGTTGCTGCTTCCCCCACGTGTACCTTCATCCGTCGAGTGTTGCCGCGAGGATTGGGAAGTTTGTGACAGCCAACGTAATCCTGTTAATCCTGTGTTCCTCGCAATAGAAGTGATTATTGCCGTTGAACCTGCAGTCGAACCCACGCCACTCGATAAAGTCCCAGATAAAGTTCCTGATACTGATGATGATGATTGTTGTTGTTGTTGTTGTTGCTGCTGCTGTTGTTGTTGCTGTTGTTGATAATGAGCCAAGTTACTGCTGTCCAACGAAGTACTCTATAATTATAGTTAGTTTTTTTTAATATGTTTTATTGTCTTTTTTATTGTTATTATTATTATTATTATTATAATTTGTTGGAAGATATGATGAGTTAAATAAATAAATATTATATGAAATATATATTATCTAAATGGATAGTAAAAATAATAATCTTTCTTGTCATTATCATCATCATCATCATCGTCATCATCATCATCATCATCATCATCGCGAAGTTGTTCGCATGAAATGAAGGAAAAACGTGAATCTGAGAGACGAGAAATGATGACCCGTTTCGAATCGATTATAGTTTGCTCGTTCGTCTTGGAATAATTGAAAATGCGAAGAGAAAGATCTAAACGCGAAGTTAAAACAATCAAAAAATAGAATCTAATACCTTATTATTCTTCATCTTTCACTTCTACTTAACTATTTAAAGCGAATGAAAATTACGAAAACTTTCTCTCATTCCCACGATACTTGGTGTTATATCATAAATATATTTTCCAACTTTAATTACATTTCGGTCATTTTGTCACGTTATAGGAGAGAGGGGGGAGGAGCCGATTAAATTCCACTATAGTAATTAACTCGAGTCTGACCGTAGAAAGGTACACCTTTAACCAAGTAAGACAAGAAATAAGAGAAATAGACAGAAAGAGAAACAGAGAAAGAAAAGTTTTAATTGTTTTCACAGAAGAAAACGAGTAAAAGTAGTAGTAGTCGAAGGTACCATAATTTTGTGGGGTTTGGGTATCCTAAAACACCATTCAAATTCGAAGTCAAGGTAAGTTTTAACAAATGAGTTAGTAAGTGAGTAAGTAAATGAGAATAAGATAGTATATATATATATATATGATGTGTGTGTAAGTGTGTGTGTATAGGTGTAAGAGAAAAGGGGAGAGAAGATTGGTGAAAAGTTGAAGTTACTCCGAGAGGGTTTGAGCAGAAACGTTGTAATGGGCTTCTTAAAGGCCCTTGCTTGCTTTCTAAAAGCAACATAACTGATCTGAGTATATGTGTATGCAAATGTATGGTAACTTCTGGTTTATAGGTATATAAGTATGATATGTATAAGGTATAGACATATATATATATATATAACTGGGCGCCATTATCGTGACACACTATACAACCTAAACGCGTTCGTACGCAAGAGAAGAAGTGAGTCGTGTCGACGAAGAACTTGGGTTCTACTTCCAAATACGGGAGAGAAGCAAACACGTATAGTAAGAAGGTTCTTCTGACCGACCGGCTACGCAACTCTTTTCGATGAAAGTATTTTTATCTCTTGGTCGTACGTCGTCAAGCGGGAAGAACTCGTCCATCGACCCTGCCCCTTTCCATCTAACCATCCATCGAGAATCAAAGATCACTCACTACTTCTCAAGTACGTACACTAACGTACTACTTCTCTTTATTAACTATCTCATAAATTTTTATTTAAATTTTATTTCCCATCGAATAATAACTTCAATCGTGTCTATATAAACTTTAGATCTAATATACAAATGTATTTATTTTTCATCGATATGTTTCAATAACTTTTATTCGATATTTTGTATTATTTGTCATTATTTGTATAATAAATATTTCATTGTTTGTTGGATTTTAAATATATTATAAGTATTTATAATAGGGTTGGAATTATGTCAAGGTTTTATAACAATATTTAATTATAAATATTGATTAGAAATATTTAAAAATAATAAATGACGATCAATTGCATATTGTAAAGTGAAATTGTAATTATTTATCCAAATAATTCAATTTTATAATAATTTAATTGCATTAATCGACTTTCTCTATGAATTTCTATAACATACTTAAAAATAAATCTTGGATAATATAAAATGTTGAGCGCGTAAGTACTAGAAGAAAATATTATTGAAACACAAATTGAAGAGAAAAGATTAATGATCGAAAACTTACGTTCAAGTGATTCTTCCTCGAGGTAATCGTAGTGTCTTGCAAGGATCCTCGCGAATAATGTTTCGCAAAGACCTCGACGAGTCTTGATCTACCAGAAGTTGGAACATTGGTTTTTGATTTGGTTGTACCTGGTGGTGGTGAGCCATCGGTTTTTCCAGACAAATTTGGATTACTACTCTTACGTTCGGGAAACACAAGGTGTTCTATGTTAGGTGTGTAACCTGGATCACTTCTGACAATGTCCTGAAGTGAACGACCTGTACTAGAACCACCATTGCTAAAAAGATAATAAGACAAAAATATCAATGAAATAAATAAAAATGAGATTTTTTAATTTATGCGTTGGACGAGATGGAACATTTTAATTGGAACATTAAATTATTTAAATGGAACGCGTATTGCGATAAGATAACTTCTTTTTCCTTTCTTTTTTATTTTTTTTTTAAATATTTTAAGGCAATCACTATTTCTTTTTTTTTTTTTAATGGAAATGTATACTTTTTATTATCTATAATAAAAATTAATTAAAATATGAGTGAAAGATATAATAAATATTTGTTGAAATAAAGTAAAAATAATAACAAGTAAATAATTATTGTAAAAGAGTGATGCTTTTTATATTCGATATTTAAATTAAAATATCTCCTACATTAATTACTTTTTATAGAAAAACCTTGGCCTACATTTACTAACATATTTAAAGAACGTTTAATTCAAACTATAAAAAAGGCATAAAAAATAACCCATTACCTCGAAATCCCTTACAAAAATGGCCTTGGAAAAAAAGATCTCACATGTTACCTTCGAACAATGTTACTCTTGGTTGTTAATAATAAAAATGTTTCATGTTCCAATTAAAATAACTGTATTTACGTATCACACACATATACTAAGTTTGTATATGCATATATATTAATAAACGTGTAAAAACAAAACCGTTTTTAATAGTTGCATGATTAATTAAGGAGAAACAATCGATAACAGGGATGGTTTTTTGCTTGATTTTTTACGTGTAAAAACTGATATCCATTCATTCATCGGTTACAGCTTTTTCTAGTGGATTCAAAATGCAATAGACGTGTAAAAGGGTGAGTTAATACATAGATAACGGAATATATATACACATACGCACACAACATGGGAGAAAAAGCGGCCGACTGGGAGACAAAAGCCACAAGAAAGAAAGAGAATAAAAGAGAGAGAGAGAGAGAGAGAGAGAGAAAGCTTGATAAAGAACTGAGTTTAAAGGTAGAGATATATCAACGTGTTGTGCAAGTACGTTCCTTAATATATGTATACATAAAAACACATACACAAAAACATACACACAACGAGCCGCACACGCATACGCACACGCACGTAACCGGTTAGATTAAAGGGGGTTAATTATGCAGAACGGTGAAAACCGTGGGCGGTTTACAGTAAGCCAATTTATGCGGATACTTCTACATAGTGAACAAGAGGGGAAACGGGAGGAAGAAGAGGAGGAGGAGGAAAATAGAAGGGTGGTGGGTTATCTATGTTGGTCTATGGTTAACTTGAAAAAATATTCAAATCGATTTAACGGCCATAATGAAAAAGGAAAGTTAACGAGTACCGCGAACTTATGTACAACAACTAGATCATGTGATTTCTAACTGTATAGTTATCTAACGTAAAGGTTAAAGTATCTTTCATTTGAAATATTCCGATGATCCGGAATTGATTGAAAAGTATTTTACAAATTGTATCATCGATACAAATATATTAACATTACGTTATGACTGAGATTTATTTATTATTATTCTTATAATATCTGTAACATTGTTATCAAATGAAAAAAAAAAATTGTAATGATATTGATAAACACTTATGTAATCTAAAGAAATCACAAAAATATTTCAAAGATTTTTATATTCACATCTGTAGAATGATACGAAGTTTTACGTATAATGAAGTAGATATGATATATGTGTTGAAACTACTTTTTTGATCGAATATAAATACGAAAAGTTAGCTTAATGTCAATGCCACAAACTATAATGTAAACGTACAATTTACAAAAAGCCAAAAAACAAACTTGTTGATACACGGTGCTTATTTTGTCTAAGTTTTACTCATCGATTCCTTAGCAAACCTTTGCTTTACCACCCACTCATCGTCGTCGTCGTCGTCTTTGTTTTATTTTATTGAATTGGAAAAACAAACAGGGGAAAAAGAAAGAGATGAGATGAGATGAGATAAGATGAAATCACCTTGGTGTAAATCCTTGAGTTTGCCTTTGACCGCGTCTCTTGCTGCTACCACGACCGTGCTTGATGTTCGTAGCTTCGGCGAGTTGCAGCAAGCGGCTGCGATGCTGTCGCAACAACGGGTCCTCACGACGATTCATTCTATCCTGCGCATCTGGACACTTCTGCTTCCTGCATTCTGCGAATAGTTAAATCACTTTGATATATATACGCGATAATGTATGACGACAAGATATAAAACTCTTAGAAAGAATATTTTTTTCTTTTTTCCCAAACCTCCATTCTCTTATCTCACCGTCATACTCATAAGAAAGCATTTTAATTAATTTTAAGGATTCTTTTTGCTTTATACCAATCTTTTGAAAATGATTTAATAATTGTGAAAATTTATTGAATAATTTATTATTATTATTATTTTTTTTTTCTTTCAAAACCATAGCTTTAGTTGGTTTTCTTGGAAGAATTTTTGGGCAATATTATTATTATTAGTAGTAGCTTCATTATTGTATAAGATTATGCCAACGATAATGTATATGGTGAGTACGAGAAAATAATGTGTTCATGTTTGCTTATTTTTCTCTTATTCTTTATATTATACAATTTTAAATTTGTTAATTAATTTTTCGATAACCTTTTAATAATTAATCTTTTTTTAAAAACGTTAGAACGTTAAAAGGTTTCGTTAAATAAAATTATTACCATGTGTAAAATTTTTTATTTCTATGATAATAAATGATGAACCACGAAAAAATATGGCTTCTATGTTTGCTTACTTTTTCTTATTCTTGAATAAAAAAAAAATTCCATTTTTTTAAATTAATTTTTCCATAATCATTTGATTATTCATTCTTTTCAAAATCGTTAAAAAATTACAAAAGTTTTCGTTGAATTAATTATTATTATTACGAGTACGATAATGGAATAAAATTACAATTAACGATGGTAAATTGAAAAAACAATGTAAAATATGATTCTATTTCATTTTTTTTTCTAATGGTTTCTATATAATATAAAAATATTATTTTACCAATTAAAATAAATTAGCATTATTCTAAAAAAAAAAGTTCGATTATTTCTCCCTTTGGTTTAAAAAAATAATCTAAATTATTGAAACCTTTATCGATAAAGTAAAAAAAAAAGGTTAATCATGAAAGAAATAGTTGGAACGAAAAATCGTTTGAAGTATGTACTATTACTAAAATCGTAAGAAACGTCATCCTGATCTCTGTTTTTAATCGTATAAAAAGATCTGACTTGACGCTTCTCAAACTATGTCCTTGATTTATCTCACTTCACTTTGAAGTCACGTAACAGAAAAGCTCTCGTTTCCTCATCTTTTGTTATACCAGTGGAAAGCAGTTTCGTATCGGCGTTATTTCCGCTCTTTGCTTCGAACTGAAGAACGAGGAGAACCTCCTTCTTCTTCTTCCTTTCTGTTTCACGGTCGAAACGATTTGCCTTAGCGAGTTTAAACGAAAAAGAAAGAGATAGAAACTGACATACAGAGCGAGAGAAAGAGAGAGAGAGAGAAAGAGAGATTTCAGTATCTTTGCAATCTCCGTTAGATAAAATTTGCAGTAAACTAAGTTGCTCTTGCTGCTCAACTCATATTCATAAAGTACCGTGTCTAACTTGTTCGGTGTCAAAGTGGAATTAAAAGGGAGCTTTCTCGCCGCAGGCTTCTCTCTCTCTCTCTCTCTCTCTTCCATTTTTTTCTATTGCAAACATATACGAACACTCTCACGCTTTCTAACATTTTTTTTTATTCTTCTTCTTTTTTACCGTATCGTTGCAAATTTAATCTAAATACAATTTGTTGAAACAAGATTAAATAATAGTATTCATTTTAAGTTGTTTGTTTCTTTTTTATTTTTTTTTTTTTACGTGTTTTAAGTCCAATATATATGTATATACCTTTCTTCCTTTCTCACTTACATTTTGCAACAACATTCTCTTTATCTATCTCTTTCTATTTCTTTAACTGTATCGTTGCAAAAGTAATCCAAACGTGATTTGTTGAAACAAAATTAAATAATAGTTTTCATTTTAAGTTTTTCTTTTTCATTTTTTTTTTATTTGTTTTTAGTGCAATATTGTGAGTATTGAAAATACATAGGAATCCTTTCACTCTTTCTCACTTACATTCACAACCACATTTTCTCTCTCTCTCTCTCTCTCTTTTTTCTTTCTTTAACTATATAGTTGCAAATTTAATTCAAACGTGATTTTTTAAAACAAGATTAAATAATAATATTCATTTTGAGTTTTTTTCTCTCTGTTCTTTTTTATTTTACATGTTCTAAGTTCAATATTGAATAAAATGAATTCAGTTTTGTTTAAATATAGATATTTTTCTTTTATATTCATTCAATAAAATCAATATCATTATATTTTTATGAATTTATTAGCAAACGCTTTGGTTTAGAGGTTACTTTTTTTTTTTTAATGTATATAAGTTCATTTGAAACCATGAATAATTGAGACGATTTTTCTTTTTGATTGTTATTAATTTGTAATTTTTAATTATGATCGCGTTTTAAATCGAACAGGAAAAGTGACAATAAATCTTTCTGTATGTTTTTCTTATATGGTTTAGTTTTGTTTCGTAATTTATAAAATTGATATTTCGTGTATCTCTAATTGATGATTATTAAAAATTGTATAGAATCATTGATGCTAAACAAATTTCATTTAACGAAATTATTAATTATTAAAATTAAACATATTTGTGAAATTGTATTAATATAAATATAAATATATTTCGCAAATATTTCGTAATTCAATAATACACAAAAAAAACTCTTAAAATATCTCAATATAAATTAATAAAATAAAAAATAAATGGGAATTACAAATAGGTTTATAATATTTTTAAAAACACAAACTCATATTATGATAATATTAATGATAAATATAAAAAAAAAAATATAATGTTATCCAATTCCATCTAAAATAAGCTTTTTGTAAATTATCCTAATGTAAGTTACATTTAACTGGTGACCTCATGAAAAACTCATTTGTTTCTCAGCTTGTGGGCTCCATATCGTGAACCTTAATCGATATACCTTGCAAGAGTGGTTCCCTCTTAGAATACCAAATTAAATTCGTTTAGCTATTAAAATATTAGAAAAAAAATACGTAACAAACTTACGAGTTTAATAAAATAATATATCCTTCGAAATAGAATTTTGCAAAAATAAAAAATAAAAATTAAAAAGAAATATTTTAAAGAAAGTACCAGAATTGTAAAGATATATATTTCGAGGACATGAAAAATACATCGAAATAAAAACGAAGTGCACAGCAGGATTTTTCACAAATTTTTTTATTCTCCTGAAATAAACTGAATTATCGAGGATAATGGAAGAGGAAAAGGAAATATATAAAACTTTTCTCATAATTCGTAAAATATGTAAAATACGTAAATTGGGAATGATTTAAAACAAAACAAAAAAAGAGAAAAGAGAAAGAAGAAGAAAAATGAATTGAATTTCAAAAGTATAAAACGACTTCCACTTCTATTTTTTTTTTCTTATTATTTTGTTTTTATTTTCATACTTCCTTTTCCTTTCCTTCGGACGATTGCGTAAAGAAGTGTCTTCTTGTATTATAAAAAAAAATCTTTAGAAAATCTGACCAACTATTTATCTATATCACTGTTTTAAAAATACATATTCTATTTACTTCGATGTTCTAAAACACATACACACACATACAGCTTCTTACACACTTATGTATGAAACGTACAAACATATGTATATATACGCTTATGTATCAGACATATAAATACATACATACATACAAACACTTATGTATAAAACAGAAATATATATATATATATATATGTAATGTATATATACATATATATATATATATATATATATATATATGTATGTAAACATACTTATATAAGATAGTATATGGTATATAGGAAGAAAAATAGGTTACAGAGACTCGCTGGTACATCTCTCATGTAAAACACGATTCGTTGTAGGTTTGTTCAGCACTCTGTATATAATGGAAGTATGGAAGGGAAAGGACGCACGTAACCCTCCGGCAAAAGTTATCATGGGTTTCGAATATCGTTTTGCCGATCGCGGTAGCACGTAATAATTACATCAAAATCCATGATAGAACGAGAGGCCAAGTTAAAACTGGGTCGTTCGACGAGTTGTTTTTCGTTTATACATATTTTATAATAGCTATATGTACATATATATAATAAATAGTAATATATCGTCAAATAAACATAATATTAAAAATCAAATTGATATTCAAATTCGAATTTTTTTCTCCACTGTTCGCTTTCCTTTTATTTTATTCTTTTTCTTCTTGTGATTAAGTTGTTTTGTATTATCATTTATCATCAGAATGCTTCTTATTTCAATTAAATTACTTTCAAATATAATTTCAGTAAATAAAAAAATATTTTTTGTTCCTTAAAATCAGATCATTTTTGTGCGTCAACTATTTTCCATGAAATTGTTGTGTTTTCTTTTTCAATTAACAATTTTTAATGTTATATTACAAAAAGCAGTGTATCATATATTATACTGTATTAAGTATATATTTAAATCAAAAATAAAAGAAAAAATAATTTTTAAATTCACGTACTGATATATATGGACTAACAAAATATCCTAAAACTGATTAAATGAATGAGATTACAGAAAAAAAAAGGAAAAGAAAATATGTGTGTTCATATTATTTAAGTACATTATTAGAAAGTACATCCCTACCTGTTACAAAGGGCTACTTTGGATATTTTATTGTTACTATTCTAATTTAAATGTGTATATTTTTACATTGTTGTTAGTTAAAAAGTTTTGATTTTTTATAAAAAAAAAAAAGAAAGAAAAATCCGAAAAAAGTAGTTTCTATGTTAAGCTCAAAACTTTTCAACCTACCTGGATATATAAAATTTTTGAAAGAAATTTTATAAGAGAAGGGTGTTGGGTGTGTATGTATGAGGGGAGGGGACAAAATTTGTTTTCAACAGGTACTTTTTGGTACTGATTTCTTACGTGTGATTTCTACGTGAGAATTATAGTGACGTTAGTGATAAAACGGTGAGAGTAGTATGCCTTGCGGGAAATAAGGTGGTGTGAACGTATTCTCGAGTACCTCTTCATTATCTCTCACTTTCTCCCAGTATCTTTCTATCTTCTATACACTCTC